CCTCTGTAGCCTACAGTAATACGGGGTAGGATATCGGGAATTCGGTCAGTTTCTATCCGTCGATTTCGCTATGAATTGAAGCAAGTGTGACCACTTTATCCACTTAAACAATTTGATAATCAGGCCCGTAAGACACTTTTCTCCAAGGGGGGTGCGGTTTTTAGCTTACTAAAGAGAATATAAAATTGTCAATTTTTTGCCGCATAAATCAAATCGCGTAAGACAGAGGGGGGGGGGGGGGGTCAGTTACTCCCTATATTGGTTTGGAATTAACAAATGCAACTTCCAAACGTTCCAATTGTTTTGTGGGGACGTGAGGAGTGGTCCACACCCCCTAGAAAAGTTTACAGTTTTGAGATGCTATTTGGTGCTTTCTGGGCACGTTCAAAGTGTACGTTTCGAAGTAGTACGCCACAACCACGGGAATAAGAGTTGAGTGAATAAAAAATCGAGCATCCAGGGGGGTCTGGGGGTTCTCCCCCAGGAAAATTTTGAAATTTGGTTGTATTTGGAGCGAATTTGCAACCATCTGGTACGCCTGTGCGTTATAAATCAATAAGAATTAAAATGTGAATTTTTTTCAAATTCTTTTGGGGGTGTCAAAGAGGATGAGAGGGTGAAGTGGGGTGGGGTGCCAGTAGGGGAGCAAAGGGTTGTCCCCCAGAAACATTGACCATATCAAGGTGCTATTTGATGATGTCTGGGCACTTAAAAAATGTCTGAGACAATACATGAAATTCAGAATATTTTGTTTTGTGGGGGATGTGAGGGGTGGCTAACTCTCCTAGAAAATTTTACAATTTAAAGATGATATTTGGTGCTTCTGGGCACTTTTAAAGTGTATTAGTCAATAAAAACACTGAAAAACAATCACAATTTTTTCAAATTTTGGGGGTGTCAAAGGTTGGGGGGGGAGGGGTGCCAGAGGGGTAGGTGGGGCCGGGGTGCCAGAGGGGGAGCAAGTGTTTGTCCCCCATATCAAAATTTACAATATCAAGGTGCTATTCGATGAAGTTTGGGCACTTTAAAAGTGTCTGTGCCTAAAAATGCCTATTTCCCAAGAAAATTTTACAATTTTAAGATGCTATTTGGTGCTTTCTGGGCACTTTCAAAGGGTATGAGTATTAGGCAAAATTTTTTGAGAAATCTCTCTTTTTTGTTGGGGGTGTTAAGGGGGGGGGGGCGGCCAGAGGGGGAGGTGGAGTGGGGATGCCAGAGGGCGAGTAAGTGTTAGTCTTCCAGAATCATTAACTTTATCAAGGTGCTATTTGATGATGTCTGGGCAATTTATAAGTGTCTGAGACAATACATAAAACAAATTCAGAACTTTTCCATTGTTTTGTTTGGGGTGTGAGGGGTGGCCTCCCCCTAGAAAATTTTACAATTTTACGACGCTATTTGGTGCTTTCTGGGCACTTTCAAAGTGTATGAGTCAATTAAAGAATTTGAGAAAATCACAATTTTTTGGGGGGGTGGGTCAAGGGGGGGGGGCGCCAGAGGGGGGGGGGGGGTTATGCAAGTGCAAGATGCAAGAGGGGGGGCAAGTCCCATAGAAACACTAACTATATCAAGGAGCTATTTGATGATGTCTGGGCACTTTAAAAGTGTCTGAGACAAAACACTAAAATAAATTTAGAACTTTTCCATTGAATTGTGAGGGGTGTGAGGGGTGGCCAATACCCCTAGAAAATTTTACAATTTTAAGATGCTATTTGGTGCTTTCTGGGTACTTTCAAAGTGTATGAGTCAATGAAAAAAAAATTACAAAAAGAATATTTTTCAAAATTATTTTGGGGGGTGACAAAGGGGGGTGCGGTCGCACCCATCGCACCCCCCCCCCCATCTGACGGCCCTGTAGTAACTATAGTAAACTATAATGGGACGATTGATCTGAGGTACAGCTATACATGTCTTTATTGTGGTCACACGTTTCATAGATTCATACATGTGTCACTTATATTACAATTTATCAGAGTGCAAAATATCAGAATAAAGGTAATAGGCGCTACCGGATATATA